AATGAATTGTAGAATATTAAATAGTTGTAGATTTTAGAAGGTTTGAGTTGTAGAAGTTTGTAAAAGATTGAATTGAGATTATATTTGTGCATAATTTATAGATTTTAAATAATATTGGTATTTAATTCTATGTGAAGAATAATAGCAGGTTGAAAGTATCTGTATCAAGTTATATTTCTGTTTTGCTAGTATCTTGTTTCATTAGCAAGTTAGCAATATTATGAAAAGAGTTATTAGAGTAAGATTTGATTTTGTGAATAGTGAATTTGATATTTTTCTTTTGAATTAGATAGTTGAGAATATAAATAATATCCTAGTTATTTGTTTTGGTTTGAGTTAGATGATCATAAGGTAAGTTGTTTTTAAGTATTTAGATTGTAACTAAGTTGTCAAGCTATATATATATACTATAATTTGAGAGTAGAGTTAGAAATAGGTAGATAAGTGTTATGAGTTCAGCTTTTGTAGAGTTTGGTACATATGGTATAGATATATTAAATTTTATTCAAATATCATTTTGGAAAATCTAAGTGATATCTGTTTTGATATTTGGTGTTTGAGTATTTTTGATTAATACATCTATATAGAAATAAAGATTTGCAGAATTGAGAGAAAGTATTTAATTATGTAGATTTGTTAGTTGAGTTTGATATGAATAGTTTTTGATAGAGTTTTGAATGAGGATAATATTAAATAAGGGGATTATAATATTTGGTAATATGAGTATTAAAGGTTTGATTAGAAAATAGTAAATATTTTGTAGTACTTGTAACTCTTGTTGATTAATACTAAGTTTGAATTAGTTGTTTTCTTTTTGTATTTTGTATTTTATATTAATTGTTCAGTTGAAGGTCTGGTGATCTTAGTGTAGTAGTTCAGTTGCCAGACTACTATACAAGAGATCTGGAGTTCAAATCTCACTGTCGACGAATTTGAATAATTATCTGAACCTTTGTATCTAACTTATGGTAAACTCTGTTTGTTTTAGGAGTTGTAACCCTGTAAATTATATTGCACCAATATTATTCGGATATTGGAAGTGTGATGAAGTGTGTAATGTTACATGAATAAATCTTAATAGGATCTATGAGCAGGAACTTGTATAGTAGAAATCCTAAGTTGGTGAAGTAGTACAACTTTTAATGGTCATACCAGCTAACACTGATTTAGAAAGAAAACTATCATCAAAAGATGCAGATCAAGTCAGATACACATAAATCTGTTTCACAGGGAGGATCAGTAATATCAATTTGGCTTAGCGGCTAACTGGATTAGGAGGATTTGCTTCATGAATTATTCAAGAAGATAAACACAGAAAACTGGTGGAGAGCCACAGTAAGAACTAGAGTTGTACAAATATTTACAAGGGTCTAAGCTAGGTGAGTTTGTAAAATAGGTATAGGCTGCTCTAGTAGGTTTACTTCAAAGTTAACTAGAGCTCTGCAAAACTCACAATATATTGAGTACAAGTATTCTGAAAGGACCTAAGCTGAAGTCAATAAATGAATCTGCAATGAACTAGCTAGCTAAAGCGGTTAGATGTTACAGTGACATTAGTTTGTAACAGTATGAGTTAGTTGAACAGAGTATTTAAATAGATAACTTACAGGTAGGTTACAAGTATGGTAGCATAGTATAGTACTAGCAGATAGTCTAATGCCTGCATAGCAAACTATTTAAATTAGACAATGACTAAAGTTATACATGTAGCTTGTTGTACACTCTTTATATAATTACAAACTGTAAGGGAACCCTATATGGAACTTCATATATCAAACTAATAAAATTCGCTTAGCAATATAAGCCACCTTAAAAATAAAAAAATAAAAATTAATTGTTCAGTTAAAACCAGTTTGTATTTTAGAGGTATTAGAGAGATAAAAATTGTATTATTGCTTGTTGAAGTGATTTAGTAATTTTAGAATATTATTTGGGTTTATGAGAAATTAATTGTTTTTCTGATTTGGAAATTTGAGAGTAATATATGAAGAGTCCAAAAGTTTTTATTTGAATTTTGTAATATGATAAAATCAAGTATGTTTAAATTTGTTAGTTCTAAATTTAGATTGAACCAAGTCTTGAGTATTGGTAATAATATTATTTGGTTTGCTATATGTTTATACTATTTAGATATTAAACTTTGAAAAGATTTGTGGGTTCAGAAGTAGATGTTTTTCTATGGAAGGAGGTATTAATTGTTTGCTATAAGTAACTGTTCAAGAAAAAAGATTTAGTTGTTTCTGAAACTAAGAGTTATTACAGTATTAGTATTTGGAATGAAGTTGTAAATAGAATTTAGTTTTTTGGTTTGATCATAGTATTGTAGATTTTTGAGGAAAGAGCTGTTTAATGAGATATTATTTTTGTATATAGAGATTAGTTGATTAATAATTATAAAGTTTTAAGATTTCTCTTGGTTAGAGAAAATGATCTTCTTTGTTAGTGTTAGTTACTATATTTTGGTTAACTATTCTTTGATATGAGCTTGAGTAATTTGAATAAGGAATGTATTTGAGTTTAGACATCTGTTTATATTACTACTATTTGTTAAGAGTAGAAGTTTGTTGAGGGTTTGTAAGGATATTATTATTTGTATATAAGTAGATTTATAAGTTTTGTCATAGCACAATTATTTCAATTTTTTATTAATGCAAATATGGTACAAATTATATTATTCCTTCAAAGTACTCTTCATTAACTTCTATGAATGTTAGAGCTAGTTACACTAACTATTAAAAGAATTTTCATATTCCTGATTAGTAATCGTATTTAGTATTGAATTTATGGTATGTGCAAGGTTTTCAATTCATTTAAACTGCTAACTGGCTAATTCTTTTTTTAGTTTAAGAAACAAAAAAAAGTTACATAGTGCTAAGTCTGAACTGTAGGATAGGTGAGGCAGTAAAGTAATACGTTCTTGCTTTAAATACTCTTTAACAATAGTTGCAGTATGTGAAGAGACATTGTTGTGATAAAGCATGATATTCATCATGACTTGCTCTTCTCTTTTATTTTTAAAATTTTTAAAAACTTCTGGTAATACATTATTTATATAATATTTTGATATAACTATGGAACCTTTTTTTATCACCTTATAGGTTATAGTTCTGTTAACAGAAAAAAAAATGCAAAATATTTGCTTTTTGCTATTTTTAGCAGTCTGAACAACTTGCAGCCAGTTTCTTTCCTTTTTGACCCATTGTTTATTACTTTCTTTAGACGATATAGTAAAATGATAGATTCAGGTTTTATCACTAGTTATTATATTATTAAAGCCTTTTTGTAATTTTTTAGCAGCTTCTTTGAAACTTCGATTCATTTTTTTTTGTTCATTAGTAAGGACATGCAGAACCCATTTTATACATATTTTAATCATGCCCAGTTCCTTAGTAAGTATATTAGTAACTCTAGTTTGGGAGATACTAACGAGACAAGCAAGTTCTCTGGTAGTAGCATAGGGGTCCTCAATTATCAAATTTTTGATCTTGGCAATGTTTTGGAGAGTAGTTGCTTCATGAGGATGCTCAAGGTGTGGTTTGTCTTCAATAGCTTCTTTTCTATTACTGAATACTTTGACCTAGTGTTCAATTGTACGTTTTGACAGAGCACAGCTTTTTTCAGCAGCACCTAACTCAACATGGATCTCAGATATTGTTATACTATTCTTCTAGCAAATATAAGTATAGTAAATCTGGTACTAGTAGCTCATTTTCTTGTAGTTGTTTTTGGAGAGTGTTTTTAAAAAAAAATTCCCACTGACTTTTATATGAAATGCATATCCATTTTTTTATAGGTAGTTTGTACAACATTAGAGTTTATTATGTAATTTTTTTTTTTGGCTAAGCCTTGATTGGCATCAAGATATGGCATATGTGACAAAACTTTTGAATCTACTTACATATTAGTTAGCAGATATAATATATATTTGATGCTTTTGATTAAGATGCTTGATAATTAGTTAATTTTTTTCTGAGGAAGAAAACAGATTTGAAAGAGATATTCTATAGATAGTGATAAAATTGAATTGAATAGTCTTGATATATAAATTGGAAGAAGTTTTTTGAAATAGATTAGATATATAAATTAGTTTATTTTATTAGTAATTATATTTATTTTTAGTTTAAATAAACTATTTTTATCTAAAAATATACTAAAATATCTTATTGTTTTATTTGGTTTGTATAGTAGGATAAGTTAGTTTTTGAAGATTATAGTTTGATTTAATAGAGTATTATTTAGTTAGGTGGTTTTGGTTTTGGTTTTGAATATGTAAAAAAAGTTTGATTTAAGAGGGTTGATTTGAATATTGTTTAGTTAATATAGGTCTTGTACATCTTGAAGTATTTCTTAGAAATCTTTTCTGAATTCACAGTACTAAACTATATCATCTATAAATACAAAAGGTAGTATTGTAATGAGTATAAAATAGGATAAAAAGATTTTATCAAGTAGTAAATTTGTTTTGATTTTTAGGAATTTAGATTAGTATTTATTGTTTTTTTTTTTTTTTTTTTTTTTTTTTTTTTATAAACGAGGTCTTTTCTCAATCTCTTTATTATAATATAGAAAAATGAATTACAATTTATATAAGTAAGTAATGATTATCTATGTCTATAGAGGATAGAGGTAAGAGCTAATTTACTCTTGACCTAAGTTTAGCTAGAAAGGTCGAAGACCTCTAGTCTTTATATATTTGTTGAGCAGTTAAGTAATTGTAAGTAATATAGTTATATAATTTAGAAGAAAGTGAAGTAAGCGAGTTATTTGAATTCTTTTCTGGTATAAGTAGTTGTAAGAGTTTAGGATCTGGTAAATAAGTTTCGTATATATATTATCTAGAGAGTAGCCAAATTTCATCATATATCGATGAGATTATTGTATGATATAGTAGTGGAGTGAATTTTTTTATTTGTGTTATATTTTCAAATAGAGCTATAGTATCTTCCATAATAAATCTAATAGGACAGCCTCTAACTAAATATAGTACTTTGTAGTTGTATATAAAGTTATCTATACTAGTTATATTGCTTTTTGTTTTTCTAATTATTTTTTGAATAGTCTGCTGAATCAGTGTTTCCAGTCTGATTTGATTGCATAGGCAAGTAATAATATGAGAGAAATCTTCAGGTACTATGTGACAGTATGAACAAAGGTAGTTTTTGTATTTTGTTAGATTATGATGATGTTTGATAAGATGTGTTGGTAGTTCATTGGCTAAGATTTTTATTTTAAAATTTTTTAAGGTAGCAAGATGCTAGCTTGTACTTAGAGAAAGAGGTGTTTTGCTATATGTTAGATATTCTGTTGTATGGCTCTAATTAATATCATTTATTGTTAAGGACTATTGCATAATTCAGTTTTAATTTACCTATTTGAGACAGTTTTGTGTGTCTATAATTACTTTAAGTATTGTTTTAGTATTATATAAACACAGTATTTATAAGAGTTGTAAGGTAAACTAGTTGTAAAGAAATTTGTTTGCACAAATATCTAATGCGAAGGTACTACTAGTTAAATCTCTAATTTCTAAGTCTTTATTATATTCTACTTAAATAATAAAGTTTGCTGAAAGTGCCTTTAATATTAGGAGTACTGGTGCATAATTCTGTTTGCTTAGACTAGAGAAGTTGTATGAGTAAATATTGGATAGCTGAGATATAACTTCTTCTAATCTTGAGTGTTTGGTTTTAATTACAATTGGTATATTTGATAGTAGTGTAGTAACTATATAGATAAGTAATATTAGTATGATATTAATTTGCGAGAGCCACTTTGTATTATAATACTGCTATATTGTTTTTGAATGTAAAAATTTGCATAGTGAAAGTATTCGGTTTGTATTAATATCCTTTTTTGTAGTAATAGAAACCTCTACTCTATCTTATAGAAAATTTTCTTTCATTAATTGTTCCTAGTGTAGTCTTAGAATTATTTCAAATATACAGAAAGGTCTAGGTTGTATTGTTTGTTGCAGAGTTTTTTTACTGTTTCTGTTTTTAGTTGTTTTAAGTGCATTTTGTATGTCTAACAGATTGGCATGTATTTTAAGCTTGCTATCCACTTGTAGCTTAAATATTTTTATATGATTTGTTAATATTGTGAAATAGCATCCTTTTCTTTTAAGATTGTGGTCTTTTAGTTTACAGCCTTTATAAGCTATTATACTATTGTTTTGTTGTAATATATAGTATCAAATTAGAGGTTAGTTGACTTTAGAATTAATATGACTAATTGTTAAATTATTTGTGATGATCCATTTGGCTTTAGATAGCTCTACCTCATAGAGTGTAAATAGGTTAGAAGTTATATAATCTGTTGAAGGATTTGCTAATTCAGTAATTAGATTTTCAATTCTTGAAAACTATTTGAGAGCTAGACCTCATAGAATTTTTTGTATATTGTGATGAAAGCTTGTCCATTTAAGTAGGTTTGAATTGTCTGAGTTTAAAAACTGCTCAATACAGGATATATTATATATGTTTAGCTATTCTTTGAGTTTGCTCGCATCTGAAGTTCCTGCTAGTATATAATCGATTGAGGTACCTAGAAAATTAATAGAAATAGGCTAATTATTAAGTTCATGATTAATTTGTAAGTTGAGTTCATGAAGTGCAATTATGGCCTGTTTAGTATATGTTTAATATTGCTACTTTGGACGTATTAGTAAGTGTGTAAGTATAGAGTTGTTCATATAAGCAGTATCTTGAAGTTGCTGCAATTAGTATTTTAAGAATGAAGAGTCAAAGTCTAATTAATTTAATGCTTTTATTAGATTAGCTACTAGATATATTGCTTAAGTTTGTCAAAAATCTTTTAAAATGTATATATTAGGATTAAAAAAGAAGGAGTTTGGTATAGAACAAGTGATCTTGGTCTCATATCTTACTATGCTTATATATTGCTTTATAATATGTGTAAGTTGAATTGAAGTAAGATAAGCACTGTTTAGTCTATATGTTAACCTAGGAATTATTATATTATTAATAATGTAAATTGATTGTTTCTTTGTAATTTGTGCAAACTGCACAACTTTAGACTATTCTTTGCTTCTGTTAGTATCTTTTTTTGGACTATTAGTGGACTTCGATTTTGGGTAAACCAAGAACCTAAGTATTCGAGAGGAGTATGTTTGTTATTTACAGTAATTATCTGGTTTTGAAAGATAACTTCTTTGGCTTTGACAGATGAGTTCGTAATTAATATTAATTTGGATAGATTTATCTTTATATTAGTGAGTTTGTAAAATGAGTCTGCTGTTTGGAGGATTTCTAGAAGCGTCTGTTTGTTTTGTGTAAGCCAGAGTAACTCATCCATATATGTTAAAGTTGAGATATATAATTTTTTTGAACTCGAAGTAGTATAAATCATTGTGTTGTAACCTATATGCTGGTTGTGAACTCTGTATACTAAAGGGTCATAGTATATCCTTCAAAATAGAAGTAAGAAGATCTCATCCTGATCTACTCCATCCTCTACATCATATGGCTGAGTAAAACCTAGATCTATAATAACTTGATTTGTTCAGTTGTTTAAGATGAATAAGAGGGTGTTAATAATTTTTTTTAGGAGTTGAATTCTATTAAGTACTTTTTCAAGTGTCAGTATGTGTATAGAGTCAAAGGCTTTTGACATATCTTGTAAGAGTAACTAGTACTCTTGTTTTGTTGTTAAGGCATCCTCCATTATATTTGTGAGATGTTGTATAGGTTGTAAGGTTAGTTGGTATAGTTGTATAGCAAAGTTGTATAGTGATAGTACTGAATTTCTAGCTAAAATCTCTGTTAGACATTTTGTGACCATTTTGGTAAAGATTTTTCTAGTATGGTCAATAAGTATAATCAGTCTAGTAGTATTTAGATCATAAATATAGTATGATTTTTTAGGAATTGGCTATATGTTGGATTTTAACTATTGATTCGGTGTAATCTCTAACTCAATACATGCATTGAAAATATCTAGCAATTGTGAGATAGCTATTGTAGGCAAGTATTTTAAAATTTCATTAGAAATGTTTAGAGGGTCTGTGGCCTTGTTTTTAGGTGATGCATTTATTGTTGATGTAATCTCCTGTGTAGTGAAAGGTAAGAGTATAGAGTTGTAAATTGAGAAGTTAATATATTTTAGCAAATTGTAGTAGAGTTGCTATTCGTCCCAGAATATATTGTCAGAAAAGTTACATTTTGTCCACTGCACAAAGTGTGATTGTATTTCTGCTAGTATCTATTCTCTTTCTATAATTATCTTGTCAGGAAATATAATTTTTTCAAAACTTATATGCAGTTTATGTTGTTGCAGAATACTATTTATCATTTGACTAGTATTGTTTTTAAAGTCTGTTTATCTTCTTTCAGTATAGAATTTTATTCTTTCTGATTGCTCTAAGTTTTTTTTAATATTGTAACTCTTCCAAATAGTGTTTTTTAACTGTTTAAAGTCTTGTAGTGTTTTGGTATAAATTGTGAATATAGTATTAGGAATAGGTATAGCTGAGAATGTCTCTAGTGATAAGGGCTCAATTTCTATCTTAGCTAAGGTCGTAGCTTTTCTTAGATATTTATTTAGAGTTTGAATATCTGGTGGTAGGAAAGGAGTTTTGATATTTGCGATATAGTATAAACATTTTTTGATATTTTTTAGAGCTGAATGGAGTTTGGTTGCTTTTAATGATAGAGTATTGAAGGCTCTAGATGATTTGTAGATATATAGAACGTGTTTGTTGATCGCCTTTTTGATTATAGCTAACCATATATGCTATCATTTGTTTAGTATTGTTTTGTCTGTAATAGAGATATAATTTGATTGTATTAGC